AAGCAAATTGCTACTTGGAACTTGGACCAACGTTTTACTACGGCAAAGGCAAAGCATCAAATATATGTACTATTTTACACGATGATTAAGAAATTATTAATAAATCGATTAATTTTATTATTTTGTTCAAGAAAGTAAATTTGAATCTTCAAAATTTGGTTAAATTTCTAAAGACCATATTAATTATAGGAGTAAAATAGAAAAAAATAATTAATTATGTCTTAATAAGTAAGTAATCAAGTACTCCCTCTGTCACTAATTACTTGTCCATTTTTGAATTGACACACCAATTAAGAAAACAATTATTGATATATTGAGTTTGTCATTTTACCCCTACTAATTACGAAGTAGATGCATTAAAAACTTGAGATTTTCAAGAAGTTCTACTTTTTTTTAAGTAATTAATTAAGGGTATAATAGGTAAAAAGAATTGTCCTTTCTTGATTTGTCAAAATGAACAAGTAATTAGGGACAACTAAAAAAAGAAAAAAAAATAGACAAGTAATTAGGGACAAAGAAAATAATATGAGACAAATATTTTTAGTAAGATGTCATCTAATATGGGATCATAAGAATAATCCATTTTAGAGAACTTAAAGTAATGATTTGGTGTTTTCAAGTCACTCAAAAGATGAATATTTACGAATTTCTTAAAATATGAAATTTATAATATGAAATTTTGAATGAGTTGTGTACAATGTGGGCCGTATAGGAGTAAGCTCATAATTTATTTATTTTTTTAAAAAGGTATATTTTATATATATTATTATAGCTTAATATAGTGAACTTTTTTCCTAAAATTGGAACAACAAGAATCAACATCCTGGTCCCAGATGAATCAAGTGTTAATGATGATAATTAGGCCCACCTGTTAATACCTTGATCAGTTAAGCCATATTAATATTAGGGAATAATGGTAGTTAGAAAAAGAGTTATGACTTAACTTTCACTTCTGGAGTCTATAATTGTTGGATGATATATAATTGTTAAAAGGGAAAAGGCTCAAATATGTCATCGAACTTTCAGAAAAAGCTCATTTATGTCATCCGTTAAAAGTTTGGCTCATCTATGCCATTACCGTTTAAGAAAAGGCTCATTCATGCCATTATTTTTTAACGGTGGTTTTGTAAAACCATTTTTTACACGTGGCCAATTATAATTCGGCCACGTCATTATTATTTTTATAATAAAAATTCAAAATTCTGAACAAACATTTTTTGCAAAACCATTTTTTACACGCGGCCAATTATAATTCGGCCACGTTATTATTTTTTTTATAATAAAAAATCAAAATTCTGAAGAAAAAAAAATGACGTGGCCGAATTATAATTGGCCACGTGTAAAAAATGGTTTTGCAAAACCACCGTTAAAAAATAATGGCATGAATGAGCCTTTTCTTAAACGGTAATGGCATAGATGAGCCAAACTTTTAACGGATGACATAAATGAGCTTTTTCTTAAACCCAAATAATCTCAAGTACTGGTGACCCACATAATTTTTTAAGTTACTTCATGGGGCCATTAAATTATTTAACTAATAACTTAAGTGGCATTTGGACTCTTTTAAAAATTTATTTTGGGTGTGTGCAAAAATGTTTCTTTAAAAGGAATTACGATGTGCCGAATATTTCGTTTGTATTTATGATATTTAGCTATAATTTTAAAAGATTCGGAAATGTAACCGGCCTTCTTGGTCATAGAGGTTGACTGTTTGAGGAGCTTTCATACTCTTGAGTCCTGACCACTGGGTCAAAGGTTCAAGGCTGGTAAACAGACGAAACATAGTTACAATTTGGGTTTTTTAACAAACACATAATACACATCAACACATGCGCACTGGTATGTATAATATATGTCGATACGATTCTTTCGTACATTTTCAGCTGATATAATATATGCTAATACATGCAATACTGTAACGACCGATTTCCGTCGTTAAAGAAAAGCCAACGGGGAAATTTTTTGAATCGGAAAACTTTTTCGTAGCAACTTGGGATCTCCCAACCTAGTCCAGATTTGAACGAAATCGGAGTCTGTGAGGTCTAGGGAAATCTGGTAGCAATTGGGTGATTTACTTACAATTTTGACTACATGAACAGATAACTAAGACGTTAAGGAACCCGTACGACTTTACGGAATTGAATTCGGGTGAGTAGAACTCCTGAAATTGATCTTAGCGTGAACGGATAGTTTCTGAGCGTTCTTGGTTGAAGGTATGTTGTGAAATGGGGTCTTGGAATTATTATGTTTGCTCATTGTTCCGTGCAAGCCGCTATGGCGGGGATTTCTGCTGCTAGGGCGGGGCCGCAATAGCGGGGTGTGTGCCACCATGGCAGGGCAAACACGACTTATAGTCAGAAATAAACCCCAAAAATATTTTATTCTGCAAATTTCGAACTTGAGAGTTAAGGAATGAACCCATGGCTTTTCTTAACAATTTTCCACCATTCTTGAGGCTAAAAGTAAGATTTTCACTCCTTGAATCCGTTTTTCGATCCGTAGAACATAATCTAATAGGTAATTATCGATGGAGAAGAGTTTTGATCTGGAAACTATGGTGGAAAACACCCTAATCTGGGTATGGGGATCATGGGTATGATCTAGGGTTGATAGGGTTGTTAGTAATTTGGGTAATTAGTTATTGTTTATTGATTCCCGTATTATATTAATTGTTTGTAGACCAAGAACAAGCGGAACGAATCCAAAAAGGGAGGAATCAAGTTTCTTAGAGGATTCAAGCTTTGTTCGAGGTATGTGATGGTTGTGATGTATGTTTGTTCTTGCTTCATTATGATACATGTATGTATGCGAATGTTGCATTATTGATCACATTAGTTGTAAATTATGATATATGAATGATGAATGTCATGAATCATGACTTGACTGTATGATTATTCGTATGTACTCCGTGATTATGATTGTGGCTTGTTGAATGGATCGGGTGTTGTGTTTCGACACACTAACTTGGATCAGTTGCCACGTTTCGGCATAATTATGGAATTAGTTGCCACGTTCTGGTATAAACATTGGATCGGGTATCACGTTCCGGTATGCTAACAGTTTGGGTTTGAGTTCCTTGAGAGGACCAATGACTTGATATAACTGTGATATTTGAGAATCGTGAAAATGTTCGTTGTTCGTAAATGATGATGATATTGTATATGTTCGGTGTACGCATGTTATTGTATTGTTGTTTTGACTTATATATGTTGCACTTAGTAGGATAACCGTGTGATCCTACCAGTACACTGTGGTTGTGTATTGATATTGCACTTGCTCTTTCTTTGTTGAGTACATGGCATCTTCAAGCGGCTATTGACAGACCTCGCTTAGAAGATCAGTAATCGTCGTTCGAATTCAAGGGTGAACCAGTTCTTCCGGGCTACCATGAGTTTTCTTTCTGTCTATGTCCACATTTCAGACTTAGATTTTCTAGTTAGTTGTTAGTACTTTAGTTTGGGGTTGTAACCCTTCTTGTTTAGACTTTTGGTTCATTGTTAGAGTTTTAGTACATTGACTTTCAGGTTCTAGGTAGTATTTCCGCATTTGTTTAGTTGTTAGACTTTTGTTTGGAGTTTATGAGAACTCCCTATTTCTTTCCTTAGCATTTAACTTGCTTCCGTAACTTAAATGCTTTAGTATTTTGATTAAGTTGGTTAGCTAATTAGTATAAATGGTTCTCCCAACGGAGGATTAGTGTGAGTGTCAATCACGATGGTCTGGATCGTGACAAATATTTGTCTAATACATGTTGATATTCCCTAGCTGAATATAGTTCTTTTGTTAATACCCGTTTGATATAACTCTTTTGCATGATATAATAATTGTAGTTATGTTTCATAATACGCTCTAAACTATATCTATAAAAAAATTTAAAATGTTTTAAGACACCTTTTGACTTAGAAAAAAACTTTCCTAATATTGGTATCTAGTAACCATCTAAGGTGTATTTGAAAAGGGCAAAAATGGTGAAAATTACATATGTCATTATATATTAATTTTGGATCATTTGACCCACCACATAACCATGATCGTACAACCATAAAAGAAAATGAAAATGATGTTTTCTTCAATTTATGGGAGGCAGGAGAAATGTATATTTAAAAATGGTGATGTATAAATGAGGAGGTACAATTGAAAAGCCATATATTTTTGGGGGAATGTGTTTCACATTATAGAAAATATGTTCTTTAAATGTTTTATTTGATAAAATTACTTTTTAAATATTTGGTTGCATTATATTGTTATAACTTAAAAATTGGCTTAAGTTTATGCAAACTCACAAGTGGAATTAACTAATTGTAAGCAAGTACGGGCCAGAGTCAACATTATAATAATTGACATTATGGCTAAATTTCAATCTTCATATATTTTATTTTGAAGTTGGGCGTTGTCAAGTTTAATTTCAGACATGATATATTTAAAATTATTTTAAAGTAAATTTAAATCAAAATTTAAATATTATGTAGACTTCCCAAATTATGTAGGTGTGAACATTTTGACGAAACAAATGGGCTCATCCCAATTGACAGGAAACCAAATAAATTGACATTGTCACTCTCGAGTTTGTTAAATGTCGGACGGTTACAAAACAAAATTCGCTCAATAAAACAAATTAAAAAAAAACCAACATACCAAAAAAATAATTTTAGTATCAAATTTTGGAATTTGAAGAGAGTACCATTTATTTTATTCTTAGGTTCAACGTTCAGTCAAATATCATTACAGAATCACATACATATTGGAACAGAGAGTATACTCATCGATGGAATTAACTTGTTTTTTAAGCAAGTTACAAGTACCATCTAGATAAGGTACAAATACGAACCTCTAATACATGAAGGCTCCAATTAAATTTTACAAGAAAAGCAAATAAAACACACATTGTTCTTTTGAAGTTATTACATTCTTCTTAACATTAGAATATGCGATGCGCTGACCATACTGTGCTACACCTCGTCTCATCACCCTAGGCAATGATCCGTGAGAACGGATCATGCCTATGGAAACCCAACGGGGTTGGAGCGAGTCGGAGGAGGAGGTGAAGGCTGCTTAGGAATATAAGGCATAAGAGGAGTCCCATGCTGTATAGGCCCTGGTCTTACTGAAGCTTTTGAGCTTGGAACTGGATCTATTGGACGGTAATCTTCCAGATTTATCTTCCCTGCATCATCGATCCTTCTTGCTCCATAGACATTGCCCTGCAAATTGCATACGACTCTCGCATAGTTTAGTTGTGTAACTGACAATTTTCGTCAAAAAAGCAATGTAACAATCAAAGTGCAAGTACCTGTAGCTTTCTGCTTTTGATAGTCACTGTCAATTCATTATGCTCCATTCCTGTGATTCAATTATATAAGAAAGCTACTTAATCATCACACTACTAAAAAATACTACTATTTTCCCAGGTTCAGTAGCTATTTAAACTGATATTTTGATTGAGTGGGTGTAAAAAGAAAAAATAATAATGGTTTCATATGTAAAAAGAAAATCTGTTTTTTCATCATGCATTTTCTCAGTGAGCTGATTCGATAGAAAATAAATGGAAATTGTGTTCTACAATACAAATTTGTGAAATTAGGTCTAGCCTAACTCATACTCGAAAAGCTAGCTTAAACCTTATAAAAAGTTCACGCCCAGTGCTTAACATCTAGTGCGTGGACAATTTTGATACCAAGTGAAATTAGGTCTTACGCCTAACTCATCCCGAAACCTAGCTCAAATTGCACATGTTCACCAATCTCATTAACCACCAATGTGGACTTTTGTTATAACACAAAATCATAAATAATTTCAAATATAGCAAATCATATGCTAAAATTTGATAAAAATATTTACCAGGAGTATTCGATGAGGTGCCTCCATTGTCATAAGAAACAGAGCAAACCAAAACTGCCATTGTCAACAACAAGAGCAAAACAGAGAACCAAACAAAAGTAGTCTTCATAATGTGAGAGTATTACAAAATGATGAGAAAATTAATTTATAGAAAAACAAATCGACTAGTACAATATATTCAGCCCATTATTTGAAAAAAAGTTTGTTAAGAAGCCGCCTTTTTTCACCTTATTTTCGGATTATATAAAATAAATAATAAGAGACCAGAAAACCCGTCGAGATAAGAAGAAGAAATTGTTCTAGCCCATGTTGCAAGCCTATATATGTACATGTATATATAATAATTCTCCGTTCCTTTTCAGTTGTCATGATTTTTTTGAGAATGACGATAGAAAGGTTGACTAACATTTCAAGATGTGTGTTTTTTTAAAATCATTTTGATATGATAAAATTGCAATTTATAGTATCGTTTTTGAATATCTAAATTTTTATTTTAAAACATTGGATCAAAATAATCTAATTTAGCTTTGAAAGTTAGCCAAATTTTCTCTAAACAACCGCAACATAAGAACTTAAAAGAACAGAAGGAGTAACTTATTACAGTAATAATTTTTTTTAAAAAAATGAAATAATGAGAGAACGAGCTAGCTAGGTACGACTTATCCAGTTTGAAAAATCAAGAGATGATCACTTGATTCCTAACATTAGTTGTTTCTCAATACATTCTCTAAAGATGATATAGTAAAAGTAACATTTTATTTATCGCTTCTTAAAAGAGTGTGTCAAATCAACTGAACAAGTAAAAATAAACAAAGGAATTCTTTTATTTTGTGAAAAAGCGTGGTGAAGATGCAGGGAGTATTGGAGGGGGTGAGGGCAGTAAATGAGAGAGTAATTGCTACTGTATTTGTTTTTGAATTGCATGAGAAAAAACAGTGTGAAATTGAATGCTGAGAGGCTTTTGCAGTCTTTCATCATCAAAATTGGTTGTCGGACACGACGCCAAAACTTTATGACTTATCGTTACATTAGTTAATATTTTTAATTTCCTTCGATTTGATTTGATTTTTCGATGAAAATGCCTACGTCTGTCACGGGCTTCGCCTGATAGAATGTGAATTTAGATAAGAGGCCAGAATTTTGAAATTGCAGGTAGCATGGCCAATTTGAAAAAACGAGAAATGAACAGTAGATATAACTCATCAATAGCAGTATTCTACTCCTATTATAAATTGCTTTTATTATGACTGACCAAATTACTCATTTTCGTGCTACCATATAGGCATATCAATTAATTTCTGCTCATCCTTAATAAAAATAAGTGACGGCCAGTAGGTAACTTCTTAAAACCTCCTTATATGACTATTTTAGTTGTGGGCATAAGGATAATAATTTCGAAATAAAATGTAAAATTATTATTTTCGGTTTGATTATGAAAATCAATGCATAGGATATGCCTAACTTTTCAAATTGCAAAAATCAAACAAAATAAGAAGGCCCGGCCCATTATGTTTATAAGTCCAGGCCCATACGTTATTTCTCCCTCATCGTCTGCAGAGAGAAGCTTTGCTGTGTTTGTATAACTCAACAGCAACATATGTATTTGTCCCTTCGGGGACATCCGATAAAATTGGAACGATACAGAGAAGATTAGCATGGCCCCTGCGCAAGGATGACACGCACAAATCGAGAAATGGTCCAAATTTTTTTTTCCCGCAAAATCCATACATTTTTCTGGCTTCTTCATGATCCTGTGTTTTGCTTCTTTTGTGTGTGTGTATGTAAAAAATCTGTTTTCTGTGTATGTTAAATTAACAAGTTTTAATGATGAATTGTAACTTGTTAAAACCTCCTTTATGTGGGGTGGTTTGGTCGCTCGGGAATAATAATTTCGGGATAAAATGTGAAATTAATTTATCTTGTTTGATTATGAATATTAATTAGTCCCGAAAACCATCTATAATCATCAAAATTTATTTTATATCACTTTAAAATTTGTTGCAAACACCATTTTTTGTATTAAAATAGTAAGATACCAAGAGATATCCTTGTCTACACCATTTCGGTTAGGATTGTTCAAAATCGAACTGAAACCGATAATCCGAATCGAAAAAAGTTATTGTTTTATCGGTAGTGAGTTATTGATATTGGGGTTTCAATAATGATTTTATTTTTTTATTATCGAGTTATTGGTTTTTAACAGTTTGTGGTTTTTTTCTTAATGGATTAACCGATAACTCGATTGTAAATTAATAAATTATATTTATACTATTCAATATATAAAGTCTTTGACTTGAGATTTTATTTCTAACTGTCTCAAACTCTCAGTTGTTCTACAATATGCAGTGTTTGTTTTTAGCAAGATGCAATGTATCAACTCATATGCATGATCCATTTGGTTTATCACCTTGTTTCTAAGTGATTTTTATTTTTTTTTGTGTAAAATTTCAACGGTTAAACCGAATGATCGTTTTATAACAATTTAGCATATTTACAAATTGACAACCGTTAAGTCAAATCGATAGACTTCAAAACCAAACAGACCGATACGGGCACTAATTTCAATAACCAAATGGTACAAGTTGAATATGGGGGCAAATCTGGACTCTAGGCTTAGTTGGGCTCTATGTGCATGAATGAACATAAAAGCAAGAGCAAAAACCTGTAGCTAGGTCCAGGTCCATGCCTTTGGAAAAACTCAATGTGCTAATTCTCCCTCATCGTCTGCAGAGAGAAGCTTCGCTGTGTTTATATAATTGAACAGTAACACGTATGCTTGTCCCTTCGGGGACATCCAATAAAATTGGAACGATACAGAGAAGATTAGCATGGCCCCTACGCAAGGTGACACGCACAAATTGAGAAATGCTTGTCCCTTCATGATCCTTTTTTTTTGTGTGTGTGTGTATGTTAAAAGTTATTTTGGTGTGCAAATTTGTGTATTGGAAGATTTAGATCAAATAGCATTGGGCAGAACACATAGATGGAAAGAGGAGATGATACCGAGCATTGAGCAACTTATGTAAAATGGACATTATGTATATGAAAATTGAAACAAGAATTTTAAGTTTATGGCTTTGGAATTGATTTTTTAATTAACAAGATTTTAAATTTATATATATTAAACAAATTCGGTACCTTAAAATTTGGAAAGGACATTTTTTAGAGTGATGTGAGATTTAGGAGAAAAATGATTCTCATACGTAACAACACCTTGAAGATAGAATAATTCATCTATGAATGTATTATATACAAATATACATAATTATGTATCATTACATATATTTTATTTTATTTACCAAAGACAAGTTATTCATTGTCCAATAAATTCAAAAAAGAAAGATTTCGTACGTAACAACACTTCGAAGATAGAATGATACATCTATAAATGTATTACGTTACATATAAATGTACGTATCACTACATATTTTTTACAGAAAGACAAGCCATTCACTTCCCAAAACATTTTGTATGAAACAACACCTCGAAGATAGAATAATTCATCTATGAATTTATTATATACAAATATAGGTCTCACTAACTCAAGTTCAGAAAAATATCTAAGAAAAACAACACATCCATCTCCAAGAAATTATACGTACTCCACTAGAACCAACTCTCATAAATCTACATGATTAATAGTCTCGTTCCAAATAAGTGAAACTAAGTGTATGAAAAAGTGCACGATCATTCGTCTTGCAAAAAGCACATAGATATTTGAGATATGCAAGGTAGAAAAATACAATAAAAATATATTGATCGATCACACGCTACGACAAATGAAGGGAGCACGTTTAGCCCAATCAATAATATCCCAAAATCGAACTTTTTTGCGTCCAGAAGGAGATTTAGAAGCATCTGATCCTTTTTCGTTCTTTTTCAGCATATCCCACAAAATTTGAACATCTTCATATTCACATTTCCTCACATCACGGTGTAGCTTTACATGCCCTATAAAATAAAAGTTTCAAGAGCGATTATTCAAGACGTTTATGTCACGAGTTTAATTTTTATGTATCAATCGTACTTAAATAAATTTATATTATATTAATTAGTTGGGTAAAAGAGAACTATAAGTAATTATCTATAATAATTTTATAGTGGGGTTTAGGAAAGGTAACATAACATGTATGCAAATTTTACTTCTACCTTTGAGGGGTAGAAAGTCTGTTTCGATAGACCATCGACTCAAAAGAAAAGTTATTCGAAGGGGGTTGCAAGAAAAATATGACAACAAAATATCAAGATACAAAAAAATAAAACAACATATAACCAAACACATTAAAAAAAATAAGAAACTACGCTATTACTAAATACTACTATAATAAGGCTGCGAAGAGATGAGGCTCTAGCCTAATCCCATATAAAGGGCGACAAAACCTGACTACCTATATGGAGAAAATGAAGGAGAGTCAAATCAATATAAAGGGCTCAAAAAATTGAAAAGAGAAGGTAGACAAAATAAGCACAATGACAATGATTAGTGAAGAACAATCCTCTTTATGTTTCAATTCAAGTCATCAATTTCATTGAGTTATTATTAGCTTATAAGATATGAAATGACACTACAATATTCCCAATGGAAGATGAATTGAAATTGCATAAATTAAGTAGATGATGTTGGAGGAGAGCCTCACGTAATTAGTAAAGTCGATGTCATATGATCAAGAGATGAAATGAATTAATGAGAACATAACTAACCAGTTTTATGAATGCGAATACGTGTAGAAACTCTAATCCAAGCTTTGCGCATAGGATCCATCATCTTCTCCCACAACTCCATCAACAATTTAACCAAAAAAAGAATTTCCTTTTCCCTAATTTGTGTATGTGCAACCTGAAAAAGAAAAAGCAAAAGAAATACTCTCTCTTCTCTCTCTATTTTATCAAGAAGAGAGATATGGAAAGGGATATTTGTTGTAGAAAATAAAAATAAAGTTTGTTGGTTATTTAAGGTTTTCTTTTGTCCTCCATTTGGTGGTTAATCATAAACGAGAATAGTTAGGGAAAAAAATGGAAGGAGATTACTCTACACTTCTACGATATTTCTAGAATCATTTTTTTCTAAAATTATTTTTTTCTTAAAATTCGAACAGTATCATATAAATT